AACTTATTTGTACCATCCATCAACAGTAGCTAATATAAGTACAAATTTTAACAATTATACATAGTTTTAGGACACTGCAGCCTACTAAATCATTATAAGAGTTGTCGATGGTCAAGTGTTCCCCGCGCGGCCTTAAGAAATATCTTGCAAGTCACAAAGTAACTCTTGCTTCTAAAACGTTGTGTTTATCTAACACCTTCCCTGGCCTTGAATGATGGTATTGTGCGTCATGATGCATAGTATTGTGTCGCGTATTATGCTTTTTAGTAAATAATACAAGCGTAGATGTCTGCAAAAAGTTACGTCGATCTTCGTTACCCCTTTTATGTAGTTTAGTGTCGTTGATCGTTTTCGTAGTTGTCGTCTTTAGCCGTCATTGCTGTCGTGTATGTTGTGGTCGTGTGCATATATCTATCGTTGTGTCCGCACCGTTGTGTAATCGCCTGTAGTCATTCCTAGTAGTTACAGGATTAACATGGAGATGGGGAGCTGGTGAACCGTGTTCAAAGTGATGAGAAATGCAATAAAGTATATAGCAGCTCCAGCGTCGTAAATTTTTCCTTGCCTATTCGTCTCTAGTGTGTGTGTGTGTGTAACCTCAGCGTTAGTGCTTAGATTGTTCATCCCGTAGTCTCGTCCACAAGCTCCTGGCCAGTCTCACCCACGGGAGTCTCCACGGCGTCTGAGGATCAATCAGGGAGGAGGGAATTGTGGCTCCCACCCTTTAAGGAATGTTGAGGGCCGATTTATCTAGTTATGAAGAGTGAATTAGGTCCTGCTGACCGCGGTGTGGATAGTGGACGAGATGATCCAGGGGGGGGGGGGGGCCAGGGGTGGGTGTGACTGGGGGGCGAGACCAGGGGTGGGTGTCACTCGGGGGGGGGGGGGGAAGGGGGGACCCAGGGATGTGTGCCATTTTTTTTTGGGGGGGGGACCCCCATCGTATCAGCAAGGCGGACAGCCCGCCTGCTTTCATACCTCTCACTGTATTTCCCACTTCTATACTTCCCTTCACTTATGCCTCTGTTTCGTCTTTACTACCCCCACCCCCCCAAAAAAAAACAAGGGTGGGGGCAGGGATATCACAAATGCATGTTACGTCTTTGCTGCTGATTGTTATTTGCTACCGAGTGCTATATATGTTTATATATGTAATATATATATATATATATATATATATATATATATATATATATATATATATATATATATATATATATATAATCATTATTACTGTCATGTTAGGGTACTTGATGCTGATTTGTGCTAGTGATACTGTATTGGTCTACTGTTGAGTGGTGAGCGTTGCTGGGGTTGGCCGCGTTGATATGGATTCCCTCGCACATTGCACTTATAAGACCAAAATAATAAATCCTGTTCTCTGGTACAGGAAGTCATGTATATAAATAAATTTATTACCATTGTATACAATATTTGTATTATACTTATATTTTGACTCGTGTTGAAGTGTATAATCCTCGGCAGGGTCTGATGTTCCCGACGACGCTGGGTGACACCTGCAGTGACAACATCGACTGTACCAGTGGCTGTTGTCTCATGACTGGACATCGACACCGACGGCCCATAGGCATATGTCAACCACTCAGACAGATAGGCAAGTTACCCTCAGTTAATTTTGTCTACATGACATTTACTAGATACTTATCAGCAACAGAAAGCCTAAAAAGACTTTTCGAAGTCAAGTTTGCCAACCCCTGATCATTCCCTAAGTGTAATCCACAATTTACAAACTAAAAACTATTTTTGCTAGGTGAACATATAAGGAAATGGTCATATACAGATATATGGTCTTCAGAAATATTCTTTAGCTCTAGACTATGTTTGCGACTAAAATATATTTGCAGACGACGAGTCACAATAACGTGGCTGAAGATATGACAAAACCACACACATCAGAAAATAGAGAAACTCAATTTTTGCTGTGGCTTCATGACTAGTCTTTTTCATCCTTTCCTCTTGTAACAATCTGGCTCCTATCACTTTCAAAGTAGAATTAGAATCTAATTATCTTCTTCATTTTCTTGACATTCATGTTCACAGTTCCATGTCTGATTTCGCGTGCTGTGTGTTTACCGCAAGCCTATGCACAGTGGTATCGGGCCCTACACATCAGTGACCCTCAGTTTCTTGATGTAATATTTTATTTGTAAGTCTTTCTCTCGCCTTGGTTACCCCTTACATTTTATCAACCGTGCCTATTCTCAAGTTAAAAGAAATTACTTTCATCCCAAACTAGTAACACTGCTGTGCCTTCCCTTCATATCTGAACTCAACAGTCTCACTAACACTCTTCGTTCTCTAAAACTTGCCTTTCGACAAAGTTACTCTTCGTAGTAATCTGGTTCACATTGTTCCTCCTTCCAATGCTACTGACTATTCTATTTCCTGTTCGTCTTACCCTCTCAAATACCTTGGTGAAAGTGTCCGTACACTTGAGACAGACTTGAGGGATACAAAAGAAGTGTTAAGTCTGCAGACATAAACAAAGCCTGTCATGTTAGGGACTATTTTATAAGACCAGCTACAGGATGAGTAATCTTTCCTGCCTCTGCTTTTCACAGACAGTCTTGTCGGCACAGATACACATGCCCAACATGATTCTTAGTCCTGGCTTGTTGCGGTTGACCATTCACTTTCACAATACATATATAAATGGTTTAAGATTTTAATTAAATGTGATTTGACTTGAGCTTTGCCCTTTTCTCTTACTTACCCCATTTTCTTATTCTTGCCTTTCATCTTACTCTTACAATTGTACATCTCTACAGGCGAGTACTGTGCTCCAGGGAACCGTCTTCGGAACTATTATGGTTCACGGGTGTACACATACTCTTGTCCTTGTGGTGCGGGACTTACCTGCAAGCCCAAGTGGTCATCTGTACTCTATGGGGTAGGTATCTGAGTAAATGGTGTGATTATTCATGAGGTGAAAGTTACTAAATTGCAATTAATTGCTTCATTTTTACTCTCACTGCTTGCAAGTTGAAATTATTATGAATTTTGTCCTGGAGGCCATTTATTTGGATAGCAGCGTGTACAACACCCTTTGATAGAAAGAAAATTTGCTAGCTTGTTCATTTTGTCACTTTCACACAGATACAGCTGGGACTTACCTGTCTGAAGTGAACACTGTCAAATAAGGGATTAACATCTTACAACCCTTAAGTTTTGTTATCTAGAATGTACAATATGAGGAAATCTTAGACAAAGTGTTTTTCTAACTTAAGGTTAGGAAAGGATATCTAATGTCTCTTAGGTGGCCAGTCTATCGGGTAAGTGGTCCAGAAAATGCCCTCTCATTCTGCAACTCTAATGCTAGACCATTGTTTCCATCCCGAATCCGAATTTATCTGGGTACTTGTATCCAAGAAGAATTCTTGCAATTACAGTTTCCTCTATCTGTCACCTCCTTTTCATCTATAACGATTTCATAAGGCATTGTATTATGAGCTGTATGCATTGAAATGTCCCAAACTTACAAAAGAAATTTAATTAATTTATATTGCTTTTGAAGGGTGCACTGAGTTCCATAAAAGGCTGCAGGTTTCCCACCCTTGACTTAGAGCAAGTTAAGTCCTTTGGAGTTAGGTAACTGTTATGGATTCCATCTAGGGCAAAGCAAGTTACATGGGACCTCAATAAGTCTAATTGGCTTCCTGGTCCCAACAATGGGAAACCGTGACACTTATTACAGTAATGAGGTTATTTGTGGAATTATTAGATTTTAATGTTTTTGATCTATTCTTAATTGGCATATAGACAAGTACATATAAGCTCAAAGACCCTAGAATTAAAGGATGAGATGCATAACACCAAACTAGACATTATTGTATGGCAATTGGATAGCAGCAGTATAGATGAGGTGTTTGTAAAGGTTATACTCCCTGGAGAGAGGATACGAAAGTAATAAATAGCAGTGATGTGGCAATACCGGTGAAAGACCACATTATGGTAGCCAAGATACAGTACTGTATTACCATAAAACCCACATATGTAGATATTGTAGTCAGTATGGCTATACAGACAGTATAACACATTAAAGTGTAATTAAAAGTAATTAAATACAGTATTATTGAAGATGCTGATACAAAAACAAAAGATATGGGTATCCATGTGAAAGGCATCAAATTCAACGAGATGTGTGTTAATGAGAAATGTCAAAATGGAATGATTGGATAGCATAGCTTCCTATCATCCAGAAAATTAGTGCATTTCAAAAATGCAAGACACAAGTGACACATGACAATAAAGATAGTAAGGGGTTGGTAAGTTCCATTAAATAACCATCAGTCAACCTAGTACTGGATGTGGTCAGTGAATGAGCCACAACAAGGCACCTGCCATGGGCAAAGGGGGTGGGGAGAAGGGGTTTACGATGTCAAGTGAATGGATGATAAAGTTAGCGAAACTTAAAGGAATTTGAGAGTAAAAAAGAGCAAAGGACATGGCATTGAGCAAGACTTTACATCTACATTTATAATGCAGAAAATGTCTCAGATAGTGCTAGATTTTGCTAGCAGGTGGTAGTGCCATATTTAATCAGGATTTATACCAAGTTCAGGTGATATTCAGAAAGACTTGTATCCATAACCTTCCTTTTTTTCTACAATAATTTCCTATACCTATACTTGTCAGGCAGGTGCCACTTCACTCAATAAGGCGGCAAATATGATAATTACTGTATAACTAAATAATTACAGCTAAATAATTCCAATACCCTTAAAAGCTTTTAGTGTAACATTTTAATACATGTTATTGTATTGCAGCGAAGCGTGATGGAGGAGCCAAAATGCATGCCAGCGACCATGCATCCATATGTCCTAGCAATGAAAGGTTATGGTTACAACATGAATAACAGACACACAAATTCTATTAATATAGTACCTGCCGAGTAGCTAGTGGCACTTTAACACATTTTGGTACATTAACTTCTGGGCCTAAAAACTATAATGTTGAGTGGGTTTACAAAAAATTCATCATGAGCATAGTGATGTATGCTATATTTGTCTAATACATTTGAGATCTGCATATGACAGTTTGTAAAATATGCACTACAGGTAAGATAAAGGCATAGTTTCAGGTACTGTGTATGTATTAGGAAAATGGGGAGAAAAAAATGCATAACCCTTATAGACATATATACGGTATGCCTTAAATGTTTACTGTATTAGTATTTAGATAGTTTTAACAAATTAAAGAAACATTCGGTGCATTTTTTAGTATCGGAGGTTTCTGTATACAGTATTAGATGTATATTTGGAGACAAAAAGTTTCCTTTTAAATAGAGCATATCGGCATTCTTTCAGTGCTTATGAGTGTTAAGCTACACATCATCTTCCCAACAGTCTCCAGCGCCCACTAAATTACATCTAAATTAATCTCCCAGTGTATTCATGTTTAGTTTTACTCATTGATATTGCAATAAAACAAAGTTTGATAATATTGTTATTTAGGGAACGGTTAGATTCCAGAAAATGTCTGTAGAAAAATTTTAGTGAACCTCCGAGCCATTGGACATGAACTATATTTTCATATATACAGTACTGTACATGTAACCTTCTTGAACCTGTACTGCATTTTAATTAATAAAAAACACAAAACCTTTTACTTATTTTCATTGTTACAATATACCATATTTAAAGGCTTTCACAGCGTCGACACCTTACATAGTACAGTAGTCTAAAGAAATAACTTTCACCATTGGCAATGCTCTATGATAATGATACCATTATAAAACATAAAATTCTTATCATAATAGCAATTTCTGAAGTCCATAAATCATCACTAAAAGTTCGGAAGATTAAAATGCACAATTTCCATATCCTCCTTTAGTTGAGGTACTGTACAGGTATATGTAAATCTGTAGAGAAAAAAAAATGGAACACTGTACATTACATTTGACACTGGTGCCTGAAAAACCTCAAAATATTGTATTCAGTAATTACTAAGTATTGTACATATATTAATTATTAAGTAAATTTAAAGATAATTAAAATCTAAGGCACTTGCTGAAGATCACTGAACTTAATATATCAATAATCACAATTATTCAACAATGAGATACAGTATGTAAGGAACTTTACATTATTAAAAATTATTTTGAGTTACAGTATCTATTTTTCATAAAGACTGAATAATTACTTTGCGATTTCTAAGTCCAGGAGGAAGGAGAGCGCCTGATGAGTAAAGCATCACACAAAATAATAATTCTGCAGAATAAAACAATGAAATGCTGCCAATAATGTTTTTATAACATGGGAGGCTGGTGTGTGTAGTACTAAATAAAATACTAGAAAAATAAGTCCATAAAAACTAAAAAGAATACTAGAAAATAAGGCCATGAAAGAGGTAAACACAGTACTGTGTTGAGGAGAAAGGTAACTGGCAAAACTGCAGTGGGTATGTTTATGGGACTAAATCCAGCAATTATTATTAAGGTAGGTAGTGGATGGGGGGTCTGTATACATGGAGTGGGTTCTAGCTGCTGCTGTTCTCCCCAATCCCAACCTAGGGTCAGGCTTCACTGGTAATAATTTGGTCAGGCTGTTGCTTGGAGCAGCCCACATATCCACAACAACCCAGTTGGTCTGGTATTTCTTGCACGAATGTGTCTAATTTTGCCGAAGAAATATAACACAATTCACTTTTGCAAACAGAATGGTAGATGGTTGGAATAAGTTAAGTGAGGTGGTGGTGGAGGCCAAATCAGTAGTCATTATATGACAGAGTACTGGAAAGACGGGACACCACGAGCGTAACTCTCATCCTGCAACTACACTTACGTAATTACTTAGATAATTACTGCCAATATTTCTTGTTTGCAGGGAGGATATTGAAGAGCAGTTGACCTCTCATGTTCATAGTGTTTGCTGATTGTACTTATGACACCTCTGCTCTTTCCCAGTCAATGTCTTTGACAGAAGTAATTTTTATACTGATTTTTGTATCGTCTGCAAAAGATGATACAAAACTGTGATTTGTACTTTTTTTTTATCAATACCTGATTTAAGAATGAGCAAGTAATTATCAAAAGGAGCCAAGCCAGGGAAAACTACATAGCACTGTGTCATGGAATATTCAAAAGGAACTAAATATCATTCAGCGTGCGAATATAAGGAGAAAAGAACATAAGGTGTGCGACACCGAAGGTAATGGATTCACCAAGGATTCTATCGAGGGACAAGTGACCTGGAGGGACACGAGGAAAGCACAAAATGAATGATTATTCGGAAAATCAGGACATTCAACAAGGAAGTGCATGACTGTAAATGGGACAATGCAGTTCAGACAAAGAGGAGCAGGACATTGTTCCATTACCCAAGTACTACGCGTTAGTTTAATATGATAACCTCATTGTGCGAGTAAAAAAAAATTATCCTCCCCCCCATTTTTTTTATACTTTGTTAAAATACCTTCCCTGGTCACAGAAACCTCAAAAAAAAAAAACTTACTTTGGCTGCAGTATTACTTGCTGTCACAATATTACTTGTTCAATTCTCAATAATATACATATTTTACACTGTCACACACTATAATGAATAAAACACAATCAGTACTTCATGAGTGTGTGCTAATCACTGAAGCAGTCGACGGTGTACAAGGCAACTTTGCACTCTACGCACCGGGTACACACAGATTTTTGCTTCTTTCTTCATTGTGCTTGCAAATAACACACTCACATTTACCTTTAGCACATAATTTCATACCTAGTATGTAACCAAGCTTGTGTACTGCAAGGTAGTCTTTCTATTGGGAGCAGTGTTGGGAATGTGGCATTGTTGTCACAACACTACCTTCCTGGCCAAACTTCCCAAGTAATTGTGACAACAGTGCAACACTAAAAGTATGGATTGGTGGGTTTTTGCCTTTTCACCAAATACATGTTGAAACTGTTCGGCACCGTTTCGTCCTCAAGGTGAAAAAACTATTTCTTGGTCCACTTCAGAGTTTTGCACACACACTCAACAGATCCACCATCAAGTCACATTTATCGACCAATTTCACATTTACATTGTAGTCCATGATACAATTTGGTTTATACAATTTTCCTAGTGTTTCAAAGTTCCATTTGGTACTGTCTATCATTTTACCAGTGTGAATTGTTGTCACCATATTCACTGACGTGTCTTTCAAAGCAAATTGCTTTGCCTTGGAAATTTTCTTCCAAATTTTGTTGCTTTTTCTGAGCTGACATCACCCACTGAAATACCAGTACCAAACACTTGGCATTTCTCTCATATGTGGCTTTACTGTGCTACAGACTCCAGTCTTATATTCAAATAAGAACATAGCAAGGGGGCTGGTATAATAATTGTCTGAGAACAGAACATGCCCCTTTGCTCATCAGTGGTTCCATAAGCATCTTTACCACACACTGCAAGAAAACCTGCGAGAATCGTGACTGAGTATGTCTACATCAGTACCAGAATGTGTCATATCTATCACTATTGCAGCTTCACAAATGCAGATCACAGAGAACTTCATTCCAAACCTGTGCCATTTTAATGGGATATATTGCTTGAAAGCATTCCTAGAAAAAACTAGAGATTCGTCAATCACAACATTCTGCCTCAGTACAAAGAAATCACAGAACCTTTCTCTCCCTTCATTGAACACTTTCAAAATGATACTGTGGAAAGTGAAGAATCACATTATCTTGCTTTCAAAGTGTAGGCACCTTAGAAGTAGCAAGAACCTGTTGTGAGACATGCACTTCCTATAAACTGGGGTTAGAACAACACACTCATTGTTCAAATAATCTTGGATGACGTATTTCACAGAATATTTCATCATACACAGCACAAGAAAAGCACACATTTCACCTACAGTTGACTTTCACAATCTGTTGGTCGTTTCTCCCCAACAGATCAAATGATAAGCTGGTAAGAAGCCAGATGCAATGAGCTAAACTGGGATTGGTTAGGTTCTTCAACAAGATGCTTAATGAACAGTTTTTCAAAATATGCCATCAAATATTCACTTTCACTCACATTATTGCCAGTATACAGGAAAATGTCAGTAGAACCAATATCCACATCATCAGTTGTAGGTATCTGTGGTATAAAGCTCTCACAATCTTCCCACACGAGGAGTACTGTGCTGCTTGTGGTGGCACAAACACCACGTCCAGCATCTTCTTAAATAAAACTCCATTCCCTAGAAGATGAAGCTCTTCTATGTTGTATAGCCCACCATAGACAGCAGTTGAAGTGGGTGCCACACTCTCCCCCATGACTGGACACATGCCAGCACTTTGCAGAGTGAACTGCTGACACAGCAACCCTGTGCCTAGTAACACCACCATGAGAGCCACTAGCACTAGGTTCATCTACACTACTAGTATCAGAACCAATGTCACTGAACCCAGGCAAAAATAAAAAAAGTCATCTACCACATTATCAGAGCATTCAGGAATGACAGATGGCACATAATAATAAACATTGTGGGAGTGGTGTTGACCTGGGATGGCGCAGCAGGGGTGGAAAGATCGGCATACTGTACACGTTTACTGTATCATCCTCAACAATGTTTGTATCACTTGTATCCAATCCCTGTGTTAGGTCTTTATTGGGTTTTGGGTGGTCAACATCATCATGACAATGTCATGCATTTCATGCTCAGTGATTTTTCAATCATGTGAGCCATTGGTGACTGGGAGCTGTTAGCACATTCATCAGTCATGGTAGTTCACTTGAAATTGAGCCTACTTGCACCAGTGGGGCATGCTAGGATTTTTTTTTAAGATGGCAGATGCTCACTGGAGACCTAAGGCCTCCATTTGCTACCCAGGTTACTGCAGACCAGTTTTAAGTCTTAGGATATATTGTACCAACAAATGCTGTATGGTGGTCAGCTCACCACCTGTCAACAGATTTATGGCAGTTTGTACAGTGCAGAGGGTTAAGTGTCCATGAGTTAAACAGGTGTGACCAATACACAACCTAGCCAAGGCTCTTTCCCATCATCTATTATGGTGGTAGGAGGAAGGATAAGGGAAAAGGTCACTTTTAGGAGCACACAGTTTGTTATCTGTAGTGCCAGCCAAATTACCCTGCCAATGGTCATGTACTAAAGAATGAATAACTGGATAGAAATTTGTATAAGGAATCCCTTTCTGGAAAATGTTGGAAGCATGAATGGGCTGCTTAGCATGTGGTGTCCATAAGTTCATTTGAGTTAACTCTAATATGGCTGGGAACACAGCAAAATTTGACTGTCTTATACCTGTCATAGATAAGTAACAGCCAGTATTAGATTTGAACCACAACAGGATGCAAAGGGTTAAGACTCCAGAGCATGAGAGCATTGTGAGAGTCAATCACAATGACACAGGAACATTGATGCAGAAATAGTAGCCGACAAAGATTATACAAAATTGCATAAGTTTCACCATGAAGATGCTAGGCTCTGGGGGGCAGGTGGCACACGCAGGTTTGATTGGAAAAACAATGGAGTAGCCAATACTATACACAGACTTACACTAATCTGTGAACTGTGCAATAGTGTGTGTGTGTAGAAAAATGATGAAGGAAAAGAGTTTTCAAAAAGTAGAAGTACAAGCTTTCACCATATCAGCCAAGATCTTACAAAATTTCACAAATGGAACTCTTCATGGGGGCAAGGTAGGAATGACAAGAGGGAAGATGTTGCCAAATGTGAATGATTGAAGGGCCATAAGAATGAGAAAAGGAAGGGGTGCAAGAACTGTGTCCTGGGGTACACACCTTTTCACTGTATTTAGTCTTGATTTTATTTGATTATTTGTTGCATTCTGTTTGACAAGACATTGAATATCCATCTCCTTTTTTTGTTATTCCTACTGATCTCATTTTATGGTCTATCCCTCCATAGTGACATTTAAAAATGCTTTGGCAAAGTCTGTGTATACAACATCTGCATTTTGTTTCTCTTACAATGTTTCCATGATTTTGTCATGGTGATTGAGTAATTGCAAAAGGCAGGATCTTCCTGCTCTAAATCCATGTTGACTTAGACTGCGAAGTTCATTGTTCTCCATAAAATTGAAGAGTTGCTTCCTAATCAGTGTGTGTTTGCGTGGAAGTGTGAGAGAGAGAGAGAGACAGATATACCGAGAGACAAAGAGACCATGTGAGTGAACATTACACAATAAAAGGAGTGAATATTTTAAATATTTGTCCATGACTACTCACAAGGAGCACTGTACATCTAGTCTATGGAGTGGAGAGACTGCTGCACATCATTTGCCGGAGTACAATACTGCTCGTTCTCCATGATGCTTCTGAGTATTGTGAAAATTAGTGTAAACAAACAGGTAACAATTTAAAAATCTTTACCCCCCTCAATTTTAATTGCACTTGGATCTATGTAAATGTTACACTCCTTTTCCCTCAACCCCATGTAAGCTGGAAAATATAGTGGTGGTCTTACCATTCCTTGCTGACAAAGATCTAATTTAGAAAACAAATATTAACTATTTTGAAAGCTGAAGATATGCACACAAACTTCAATGCAAAAACTTTGGATAAAAAACATATAACTATGTACTATAATCTGAGTACACGTCTTCAGAGGCTCCTTAAATGAATAAATATGTAAAAATACCTTAATAATGAACAATAATGTAAACAATTTTAAAATCAGAGCAAAATATAAGCATTTTATTTTGCAGTGATTTAGGCTAATGTATTGAACTAATTGTAGAAAAAACTAGTATGCCATTACTATTTTGTTATTCACTTTAGTTATTAATTAGCAAAAATTCTGATTGAAGACCACCACATATTAGAGAATAGATTCTATTGAAGATGACATTTTGCCTGTAAGGACTAACAGCTACACAGGCGGAGCAAGGCCAAACATGTGAGGAATTACGCATTAATGAAAGAATATAGGAATTATACAAAGGAATTATAAATATACATATACAAATTATAAGGAATTAAAAAAAATTATAAGGAAGCTCAGAGAACCTGAATCCATTAAACATTACAGTTATAAAATAGAATTGAAAATATGTTTCTAATAATAATTTGCAGATGTTACCAGAAAGGTATACAGTATTGTCAAAATTTCACTATCATGTCAGTTTTTCCCCCTGTATCTCTCATCTCAGATACTATCTGTATCTCTGTGCATCTCTCAGACTGGACAAAAGCTCCCACAGGCAACTCATTATCAACTTGAACATTTCTCACAGATGTCAACACTGTGTGTTCTCTTCAACCAACCTTTGGATTAACTACATATACACTATACTGTACTTTCATGATGCAATCCAGGAAGCCATTCTTATTTGTTCAAAGGAAGTGAAGGTTTCTGCTCTATATACGACAAATGCTGAGAAACAATATACACCTGGCCTTATGAAGCAATGAGGTGCTGTTCCACATGACTGATGGAGAGTGTGGCGGTTTTTGTTTATTCCTCATGAATTATATAACGAATGGACGCAATACATTTTTTATTTTGAATAGCATTATCCACTCGTCCTTCAAGCTGATACCTTTCCATCCCATGAAAGTGGAAAATAGAATACTGCTTATGTATGTGCATATTTATGTGTAGGTTAGGTTGGATGTTTTGGTATTGTCAGCAATTAGTTGTATTTACTAATGTGTGGGTTAAGCAGGTTGAAAGGTGCATTCCAAACACAGGAACTTTTGGCCAGTGTTTTGAGAATGGATTGCATGATAAGTTTAGTTGTCTTCTAATTAAAAATATCCGAAACTGCATTGTATAAAAATTAAAATAAAATTTGAAAAATTGCTTTTAATATAATTATGGATTCTCTGTCTTTACAAAATTTAAAGCATAGTTCATAATTCTCCCCATATACTATACTTCAATTGTCAGTTAATAAATACTAAAACATTATACAAATCAATTAAATTATCAAGATAAAATTATACACGAGTACTTAAAAACATTAAATTATGAATAACGGTGCAACAAAATGAAAGCATAAACCAGGTTAGAAACCAATGTCATCAGATGCTATTCAAAACAAGAATATATTATGAATAGTACCACCTTTGCACTCTAACTTCCTTTATAAACAAGGAATTATCTGTCAAAATTTTATCACAATTACTGTTTTGTTAAGCACAATATTAATAATGTGTATATGATGATAAAGCAAGTCATTCTCCTCTATAAAATTTCCAAAACAATCCATTCAGGAAAATAAATCTTACCCTAAATATGGTAATCACAAAGAATGATGAAGGCACACATGCTCACCTATTATTAGCAGCAACTAATAATAAGCCCTTGCACACCTCATACCAGCTTAAGACAATCTTTATTAAAACCTTTCACAAACTACAAGGCCCTGGGACTTGAACAGACCTACAAAAACACCAGGATCAGAATCTGAGGTGTTCATAGAGGCAAGAGGAGAATGGGTTCCAAAATTAGTTAAATTTCGAAATGGGTTTAGAAATTAGTCATGAAAAACTCATAACCGAATAAACCATCCAGAAAGTACAGGCAAAGCAAAACAATGTATAGTATATTGATGAACAAGAAAGCATGGAAATAGGGAAGCAGAGATTTGCATAACATCAACAGGCCTTGTGGTAGTATCCAAGCACACCACCAGATGGCAGCTCAGGTTAACCAAATGTTCAACCTTCCTACCTCTGCCTAACTTATGTGCTGCCCATAAAACATCCTTGATCCCCATGAAAGAAAAAGGTGAGTATGGGGAGCTACTGAAGCTGCCCTGCCTGCCTTGTGACTAACACACCTGGTCTTGAAGGCAATGGACACAAAGAGAAAACAGGGAAGATGTGTTAATTCTTGCTATCTACTAACTTCCTCCAAATACTTTGGTTACCCAACACCAACATTTCTCCATTCTGACATTATATTAACATAAAATGTAATGCAAATATCAACATATTTATCTACATGCTAATTTAAATCTGGAACATTTGACTTTTAAATTATTAAGCATTTATTTGATGTAACAAAAATTCAATAAGTGAATATAATGTCAAAATTTAGTTGAACACAATATGCTACACAATGCTATGTAATAAAGTAAGACAATAACCTGCTACTGAGTTGCAAGTAAGAATAAAAAAAAATCATTAAATAGAATGTCAGACACTATTTATCAAAAAGGTATAACAACACAGTTAGACAAGAGAGAGAACAAGGTAGGTCAAAACTCATTCATTATATCAATTCAATTAGATCTCTCTGTCAGTCCTTGTACTCTGAAGGAAAGTACAGCCACACAAGTTAGGTACTTCTGTTACTCTCTGCATCAGCCATTTCTTATCACCAACATTTAAACAAAGTTTATACTCACACTGTAATATGTGGAAATATAAACTTGGCAACAAATTTAACAAAAACTTAAATTACGAATAAAACACATGTTAACGTTATGCCCATCTGTAACCATCCGCCAAAAAATGTCTCATGAACACCAAACACAAGAAAAAGGAACACTTAGGAGCACACATTCATATGTTCAGTAAGGCAAGGATAACTACATATCCATTGATGACAGCCTTTTAAACTTTACAAACTCTCTCTCTCTTTTAGTTTCTTCAAATAATCTCCCTTTCAGTACAGCATTCATAAAAACAAAAACAAAAATAAACATACATACATATGTATGTATAATAAATACATATGCATATATATTTATCTATGAAATTTGAACATTGGTGTACACTAAAAGTACATGAGCAACCTCTCCAGCACATCACTGAATAATACAATTTGCAAAGCACTAAATTTGCAACAAACATTCTATGCAAAACCTTAAACCGTACTTCAACTCATCCATTTGCACAATGCCATATTTTATATTTTAAAAACACTGGTATATTTCTTGCTACAACACATGGTGTCATTCAGTGAAAGTAAATATATCTATTGTAAAAGTTACCACCAAATTCTTACATCATTTCATGCATTTCTCTTATTCTTTTGTTGTAATTTTCAAGGGTAGTGTGAATGGTTGTGCACGAATATTTACACTTCTCAGACGTACACGTACAGGTGAAATGCTTGTATTTGATAATCCAGAATTTCTCTCCATAGTCAAACCTGTCAAAAAAGAGAACATATGGTGTAACTAACATTACCAATGCTGAAAGTCAAGATTTGGGTCTATATCTATATCTATATATATCATATCTTGTTGCATGGAAACATCTGTCAAATACAAGGTATAGAGGAGTACAAAATATAGAGGAGTACTGTAGACAGAAGTAACACTGCTACTTACCCAAGTTCTTCATCGGCTTCAATATCACGATTAGCAAAGAATGCTATTCTTGGGAAGGTTAGATCTTGATGGTCAATAAAGACTTTCACTGGTGTAAGATTTGCTTCACAGAGATGATTGATGAAACGAGCAATATTGCCATATCCTCGGGCATCAATGCAGAAAGTTTCACTATCCTGGAATAGAAGGTCATATGTACAATCCAACTGGAATTTAATCAACATACTACACCTTACATTCTTCTGTGGCAGGAGGTTGTAACATGTCTAGTGGCAATGTTTTTTTACCAGTGGAAAAGTTTAAAAATCTGCAGTACAGTACAACATATTGTATTATAAATGTTTCAGAAAAGAAATATAACATATTGCGATCGCATGAAAGCAGTCGAGAAAGGTCCCTCCAGTTCATGGCATCTCACAATATAAAGTGTAGAGTACAGGTTTGTGTGAGCGATGATGACGGGGATAACTTGCGTTGATTTTGGAGATCAAAGTCCTCGAAATCGGGATGGAGTGTCTGATAAACAGAAGCAATGTATGTTAGCAGGTGGTCAGCAGTGCATGGAGATAGTGACCTATTGTGAGAAGCAATGATAAAAGTGACAGCAATGGTGCCGGGAGTGGTAGTGAGGGAAGTGCTTTGGAACGTTAGTAAAATATGATAGTAGTAAATAGCAATGATGTTTAAACATGATAATACACAGAATGTGTTGGCAAATAATGATGTTGATAGTGTACAGTGGCAGTATTAATTCACTGAATCATTGGCATAGGGTGAGAGTTTAGGCCAGAAATACAAGAATTTCACAAAACGTTCAAAACTCACCTTATTATCAAGATCAAATAAATACGAGTCATCTTGTCTCTGGTCAGCCTCTAGATCAGTGATGATCTCTCCTACATATTCACACACATAAGACCCCTGCAACATATTAATTATAAGGTCAAAGGCAGGAAATACTCAAGAAAAGTATTTTAAGTACATAATATTTCCACAATTATTGATCACCTGTATACAACAGGCAATATTCAGAAATAACACTTCGAGGTGTATATATATACTTATACAAGACTAAATAACTCGTACAAAAATTATTAAACAATAGCCAATAGCGTCAACTATTAGATATCACAACTCAAAGTATGAAATTTGAAAGGCATTCCTCAGGAGTGACCATAAAATCCGATATACAGTATTGATTTTATATATACTGTACATGGAACTGCAACTGAATGATCAAAAGGCTTCGTGATTATAATTTGTGTCTTAAATTGATTATGTATGCTTGCAAGTTGTAGCCAGATAAACACTCCGAGTCACCTAGCATTATGGATAATGCTTCCCTTCTGGTACAGTAATTGCATTATTTTACAGATAATCTTGCTCACTTTGCACTACAGTAATTGGATAATTTTACAGATAATGCCTGCTCACTTTGTGTTACTTGGATTATGTTGCAAATAAAGTCAAACTTGACTAATGGTATTTGCCTGTTTTTTTTCATTTCACTCATGTCCTGCTAAATAAACTGGCTTTAAATAGATTACTGTAGTTCACAAATCAGTAAGTAATAGACTTATCCATACTGTATTTCAATGATGACAGGTTATCATGATCAGTCATCAGTACAGTAGCATAAATTGATTTGTATTACCCACTACACCTCCCATTATGCAATCCTCTTGCTTCTTATACACATTCTTATTCTAGCTGACTATTCAATTGCCAATAACTTCGACAAGTTAGTGAATAATTCTTCATTAAATATTAAAATAATTATTCACTGATCTTCATCAATCACAGGTATGAAATTATTTCTGCAGCCGAAATGTTTTGGAATTTGTACACAAATTGATTTACGCTACTTGGCTACAATAGTATGCATAAAGTAAATAAAATAAAATACAAATTATAAAGTACCATACCACGAATTACTGTATTGGTATTCAGTCTATACCTGTATAGCTTTTATGTATTACAGCAAACTGCAAATGCTGCAGTCTAGATGATATGTTCAGATTATCTTTACAGCTTAAGATGTGAAAAATGAATCGCACTGTTTTCCTAGCAGTGAAAATAATGAACAGGCTACACAGAGTTTGATCACTATAATGTGATACAAATTCCACTCTAAATGCTATAACTACGATACAACTCATTATTCACATCTTAAACTATAAAGATAATCTGAACACAGTATTGTTTGATTCAAACACAGGTGGCTGCCATGATGTAGCGTGCAATGAGAAAACAGAATCCCATTACTGTATTCTCCTACATATTCAACCGACACCCCGAGTTGAAGTAAGGATTCTTCCTCAGTGAACGAATGCTTTATCTTCATTTACTGAACATACTAAGTGTGTTGACAAGTCTCACCTTTTGAATGGTCTTGAGAGCACGCACACCCCAGCCTTTCTCAGATGTTTTGAACAACTGCATGTGGGCAGATATACCATGCTGCACAACCCGGTTATTGCACGACAACTTGTTGCAGCGGCAAGCTCGGTTACACTCAAATATCATTGGCGGATCTACAAAAGTCAAAATGGCATTTTAACATTATTTTCGGTATAAGAAAACGCAATGTAACATTACACGAGTGATCATCAGAAATACTTTCACAAATACCTGCATAGTTGAACTCTGGCAAAAGGCGGCCATCAGGATCATACCAGCACTGGAAGTTCAGTTGACCACAGCCACAGTGGTCTGCATTACAACCATCCTCACACTCACACCACTGTTGTAAAAATTCAGTCATTAACTTATATTTAAATTACAACCGCTAAAATTAATAACAAATAGAGTGGTGCCAGACAGCATAATAAAGGCAGTTTCAAGAATCATATATTCTTGTGTCCCTATAATTAGCAAAGACAGGATAACAGACATTATGCATTCAGCATTATCAAAGAGAAAATAATTAGCGAGACCTTCATTGATGTAATTGTGCGGTCAATGATAACATTGGATGCCTCACAGTTCTCAGCAATGTACAAGTAATCTTTAGGCAGTTCATCATCATCTACTCCATTGACACAAGGAATTGGCACCTCCTCCTTCCCAGCAGCAATGTCACTGTTTGAACATGAAATAATACAATTACTGTATTATCAGTATTATTATTATTAATTATTACTGTATTATTAACAATATATTAGCAATTATTGGTCATGATTTTTCATATGATGTAAGTTCTTTCTTACAACCTAAATTTGTGAAGTTTAAAGTTGTAAAATTTTTTATATGAAGTAAGACAAAACATACGATAATGAAAGGCACAATGTAATAACTCCACAGCCTTACCTGCTCAAGATCTTCTCAGTGCGTATGTTATTTTGGTTCATCATTTCAATCAGTTTACTATTTAAAGTTAGTTGCAAGTATACGTCAGACTCTGGCAGGGCACAATCTATGGGCGTCTGGCCTTTAGTGTTCAAAACATCTAGTCGAGCACCTCGGGACAGGAGGAGAACCACTGCATCAATGTGGTTTTGTCTGGCAGCAATGTGCCTGTAGATTTAAAATACTCATTCACTTATACATAATTTAAATATAACTACACTCAAAAAACGTTTAACTATCCCTGTCCTCTACAAATGTAATATAAAACATAATTCAATATTTTTAATAAACAGTACAGTACTTGTAAATTGTTGCAAGACAACTCCTTGATCACTAATATTATGAGCAAATAAATAAGGAAATCCAGCATATATTCCAGGTCCTCACCAAGCAAATTCATTGTAGATAACACAAGTACAGTATACCAAAAACATAAGCAGCATGCTTTGTAAGCATATAAAAAAATCGGTGTTGAATGTAATGAAACGCCATTTTCTGAGTGTCGGTGCCGTGCTCACTGAGTCAACCAGGACCAACTAATCTACTACACAAAGAGTAAATGAAAAAATTAATGGGCCTTATTCCTGACCCATGACAAAAATTCCACTAAACAAAATTTTTAAAATTGTAACATCGGGGGAGATTGATCTAAGTACTCTCTTAAATTGTTGGTCTGTAACACTAAGTAAGTGTTACAGCCCAACAATTTGGACTGGATGGTAAGAGTGATGGTCTCAATGGCTACCCATTGAGGGAGAATGATCTAAGTACTGCATCTACTGTTACAATGTACTTGTGTTCCCTGCCTTAAACACAAGTCAGGAAACAAATCGTATCATCTCACAATATTACCTTTCTTTGCAGGTGTGTATAACTTACCACAATACAAACCACAGAGGTTTAATACTCACAATGGTGTATCTCCGTGCGCATTCATAGAACGAAGTGAACAACCTCGATCCAAAACCATAGAACAGATATGGGTGGACCCAGAAAAGGCTGCCCAGTGCAGCGCTGTGTTCTGCTCTACGTCACACAGCTGTGGATTTCCACCACGGTCAAGCAAAAATCTGAAAGACAGAAATCGAGTGTAACTACAAAAGATTACACAAACTACTCTAATGTGGGAATCAGATATAGCAACATATAATCTCATTAGGATGTACAACACATAGCTACTGTCTCAACTCAGTAGCAACTCAGCTAAACCACTTGAGTAAAACCTACTTGACAACACTAGTAAACTTATTTTCCGAGGCCCACACAAGAGGCGTCCAGCCCCCCTCATCCTGCATATTGACAGCATGTCTTGTCAGTCTTCCCGAGTCCAAGATGTGCTGACAACCAATTAAATTTCCGCATTTTGCTGCCAAATGAAGGCATGTCATCCCATCTTGAGTCTAAAAAAAAGATAAGATATTATTTATACTATACAGTGTATTGAAATCAACAGGGATGAGACAGGAGTAGTGTCAGGTATTGGAACACAATTTTCCTCAGAATTATATTCTTTTGAGCAGGAATGTGAAGATAATGAGTGATAAACAAGTGAAGAAATTAGGAAGATATTACATAGAGTTATGATGTTTAATAAAAAACAGCATCACAGCTACAAATCCTTAACTATGATAACCAATGAATGAAAGGGAGCATATTGGGTAAGGTGTAACTAATAAAGGCAGGGAACCCTACTGAGCTTAGCATGTACATGGATTGAGTGCCTGAGAATTTTCCAATCTTCCATTGGCTTGGGTTCCACTGAAGCACCCAAGTATCAATCTGTTTGTGCAGATACTGAAAATATAGTTAGAAAGCATATGTATATTATCAAAACCTCTAGTTACAATAAAATTATCTACTCTCCTTACCAATTCTTCACCAATCTTATATAAATTATATTATACAATACTTCTGGGAAGAAAGCAAATTTCATTACATAAATTGTAAAGGGCTCACTTTCTTAATTTATTCTTTCTCAAAACTATTCAATAAATTCACCTTGGCCATTAGTGATGCTCCAGCTTGTATTAGATAGTGCACTATACTATTCTGTTCTTTAGTGATGGCAACCATCAGCGGAGTCATAAGCTGAGTGTCGGTCATGTCTATAGTAGCGCCCGCAAGGGTCAACACGTGCATGGCAGCAAGACTTCCGTAAGCTGCTGCAACATGCATCCCGGTTTGGTTTCCATATTCCTTCACCTTAACATTAGGGCTGACACCATGCACTGAAAAATATGGATACTTTATATTGGCCAAAAGTTTTTTTGTCATAAAAAAGAGATCACGGCAATATAGAGAAATAACGTCATACGTGTTCAAAAACAACTCTCGTCTGTTCAACATACCGTACAGCATCGTGGATACACAAGCACCACAACTGAACAGTTAAAGCAATATGATAGAACACTTACCCAAAACATGCAATAACTTTTCCAAGTCATTTTGTTTGCATGACCAATACACTCCTTTGGGTGAAGGCCTGAAAATAGTGAATTCTATTAAAACAGTGTCTTTACCAATTTGTAAATAGCAAAAAGGTATACAAACTTTTTATTATTTATTGAATTGTACAGATTTAAGAAAAGTATACTGCTAGGTGAAGACACATCTGTAAGGAGACGTGCTCAAATGCCTCGTCCTGCTCAGGAATCAAACTAAGGTTTAATTGGTTGTGAACCAACTGTGTTAAACACTGGGACAAAGGTAGAAGTGTCAAAAGGTAATCTGACAAGTAACCAGGAAAGACTGCTCTCAACCTGGACTGTGAGGGCAGAAGGAATCATGAAACTGACCACAGATAAAACATTTTGTATATGACAGGCTCTTATCATATGTTCTCATTATCATATCTGTTTAAAAATTATGTTACTATATTAAAAGAACTCACTTGGCAGCAACACTTTTACCATCAATGATGGACCTGATGGCATCTTGAAGCTTTTCTCGCCCAAGCTCCAGTGGTAATTTGTGAGCAGAGATGACACGTCCATTCCGAAGTTCAATTGATGGCTCATTCTCTGGCAAAGATTCTGTTATTGCTACTGTCTCAGGAATGATCTTCTTTGACCAGGTCATGCGGGCTGATGCTCTGCCAATGCAATAAGATACATCAAAATTTACATGAATTTTAAGTAATGAATGAATTCAGGTCGTAAATTCAGAGGACAAAAGAATAATGCATCTGCTGAAAGTTAACAAGTACCATATAATAAAAATACTGTTGTATGTGAGGCACGAAAGAGATGTGCTACACAGTAAGCTTACTTCCAGTGCTCTGAAATAGTTGTCCATACTTCATGCCTTTTAGCCCCACATCTATATAGAGAATCTGAATAAAATAATTTCTCAAGTTGGATTCTTTAAGCTTATATTTGGAGTTTTATAGTCTGCAACATTCCATAAGACACATTCAATCCTTTCTCTGTACATTACTAGGCACTCAACTGTTGTCTTACCAATTATTATTAATAAACCATAGTTGCAAAACACCTTCAGTCATACACTACTTTATAATGCTCAATTTAATCTGAGGTAACAGCATGAATTGCAACATGGAACTTTTTCTTTTAATAATGTTTCTGATAACGAGTTTCCCCTAGATTACGTATTCAGAAGGTTGAGGGCATTTTGAGAATCCAAGCCCTCTCAGATTTAAAAAATATTGTAGTGTGTTTAAAGAGTTTCCGAAATCCCCCTAGGACCTCGAGAAAAAACATTTATAACCTATATCCTCTTCCCAAAACAAGGGAACGTCTATAATAACATCATTCTATACTTTTTAAAAACTATTCAATGGTGTCTGAATGCATACAAAAACACACAAACCCTATTGCTTATATATATGGCTGTAAGGTAGTAAATTCTCTCTTCCACATCGCTGAAGAGTGTACAAATTGGGCATCCACTTTGTTTCCTGAAGTTAGTGCTTCCTCTTATAACGAAGACTAATCATTTTGAAGTTAGCTCAGTTGGCAGAATAACCTACAAAGTAAACAACTTGGGAAACATTACTATTGAATAAATGCTGTATAGAATGTGATATTCTACATTTAAAGCACAGGAAAAGAAAACCTACTCCTTCCTCTCCTGATGTTGCTTTAGGTAGACGACAGGTTTTCTATTTAATTTCAGTTCCAATTGTACCTCCTTGGGAGGTTCTTCAGCACCACAATGCGGGCAGAGAGTCGCCCCGGCTAACATCAGACCACACAACTTGTGGTAGTAGTGACGCAGGCCAGATTTGTCCCAGGAGCATTCATAGAAGACGCCCTATTATGTAAGTAAAGAAATTAGCATGTGGTATTCATATTCAAGAACAAAGCCTATTCATTCATATTATACTATAGAATATTATACACCTGTGCATACATGCTCACACATATTGGGAAAAAGTGATCATGTCCTGTTGGAAATTAAATATGCTCTGCATTATAATCTAGAGGAGAATGGAGACATTGAAATAGTTGATAACTTGATTTCAAGAGAGGACACTATGGGGAACTTAGCAAGGTCTTTAATGAATTTAATTGGAAATGCTTGTTGCTAGACAAGTAAGTAAGATGTATGCCAAATTCTGTAAAAATATACGATGAAGGCACATGAAAATTCATACCAAAACAGAGATGCAGAACCAGAAAACAGGATTGGTTCAACAGAAATTGTAAGAGAGCTAGAAAGGAAAAGACAAGAAAATGGGAACAATATAGGAAGAGGCCTAACCTTAAAACATACCAGCACTACACTAAAATGCCAAGACACCTACGGTACACAATTCACTCCTTCACACACCCACCCACCCGCCCGGTGGGTGTGGTTACCACACTCACTCCTGACACCCACCACACTCCAGCCTCCCTGCTTGCCTGAAGTCTCCCAGCTTGCCTGGACCCTGCCTGACTCCCTCCTTCCCTGGTGGGGGTGTACAATGAGTGTTAGGCCAGGTATTTCACTTGTTTATCTCTCAGTGGTAAAGGTGAGAGATATATTCTCGTGTTATGTTCTGCGGCAAGTCGACCTTTGGTTTTCGAGAGATTTTTAAGCTTCAAACTCTCTATCAGTATACGCTGATACGGACAAATATCTGGTAGTTCGGATTCTATTGACATTCCGTCTGGAGAGGGATATATTATTATCTGGACGCGATTTTCTGGCTTAGGGCGTTTTCCAGATCAGTGGGATTTGGATTAGCGAACTTCTACAGTACTGTATTACAGTGGAACCTTGGTTGACGAATGCCCCTCTTTACCAATTTTTCGGTTTACGAGCTCAATTTCTTTGTAAAATTCGACTTGGTATACAAGATTTGCCTTGCTTGGCGAGTTTGTTGATACATGTATGGGTTGACCGAGCACATGGTTCGTCATGGCACTGGCGAGGCGTGCTTCAGTTTACCAGTGCCTCCTGCAGTGATGATTGCTCTTGAATTCTTTGTGAAGCATTTAATTGTTTTTGTACTTGTTGGGTTTCTGAACATAAAAGTAATTATTATATATCATGCCATGGGTCCCAAGAAAGTCAGTGGCAAAGTTCAACCTTAACAAATAGTTGTGAGGATGACGAAAGAGGAAAAACAAGAGATCATTCATGGTGAATGAATGTGATGTCTCACTATAGAAAAGTATTAAAACATAGAAAAAACAAGTGTTTTTAGACAGATTCTTAGTAAGACAAGCAAGCAGTGAGCCACAACCAGGTCCTAGTGGTATGCCTGCAAAACATAGGAGAGAGAGTACCCCAGAAATGTCATCATTGCTGTTATAATGGAAGGGGAATTCCCTCCCCTTCCTTTCCAAACACTAACACCTCTCCTCCTCCCTCCCTCCTCACCATCTTTCATATGCCAACAACAGTCCTGTAGTACATTTTTAAAGGTAAGATATACAGACGGGCCACGCGTTAGCCGTGAGTGAGTGCTCAGAGGCCTTCCTGCTACACTCCAAATTCCCACCCTTTTCAAGCCTTTCTTTCGCAATTTTCTTCCTGGAAGGGCCTTGTTCATGATTACTATCCATCGTGGAGTAAGCGTAGATAGTTTCTAAAGCCGCAGTAAGAAATATAGCCACGGGAAATAGCCGAAATGTTCACACGTTTGAGATGCGAGGGGAGGCAACATTGGTCACAACAGTGGAGCAAAGACAATGGGCCCACGGCGTGTGCCAAGCCGCCTGAGGGCCACGAGGCTCAACAAAGAAAATGGGAAGACATCGGCGCACATTTTAAAACCAGTCCCAAAAAAATCGGATAAAAACCTGATTTTTGGCGAATTTTTAAAGTGGATGACGCAATGCTGCGTCATCCCCGGCATTACCGCCAGTAAACGGATGACGCAATGCTGCGTCATCCCCGGCATTACCGCCAGTAAACGGATGACGCAATGCTGCGTCATCCCCGAGCGAAAGTGTTAAGTATATATTTTAAGGGGTGTAGAACAGATTACTGTGGCTCAATTTACATTATTTCTTATGGGAAAATTCGTTTCAGTTTACAAACTGAAACATAAACTGGGAATGGATTAAATTAGAAAATGGAGGTACCACTGTATTATATAATATTACATTAGCACCAACATCAAGAATCATCCTTCAAAACCACTTTAGCATCTATAAAATCATAAAAGCTATCAATATCCATGGAAACAAGTGGGATCTTTCTTGGTCAACAGTAATCTGATATACTGTACCTATTTAATGTACATTATATGGACACATTACCAACCTGAGTGCAGAAGAGCCCACAACAAGGGCAGCAGTTGTGTCGTCTCAAGCGGTGTCGGTGAACTTCACACAGCAGCATAAAGGGAATTTTTCCACTCACACGCAGGTATCTACAGAGGTTGTACATTTCTCTTAGAATGAATCCTAGTACTTACACTTACCAGTTTTATTGTAAAATATAATACTGTACAGCTGTCAATACAGAGTTACACGAAAAGGAAGAAAGAGGTAACTTGTTAAATTTAAAAAGCAGCAAGTCTGAGGTAACCTGAGTTGATACGTAACTAATATTGTTCAGTGTCTATGATGTCATTGATTGAAACAAAATATTTATACAAGAAATGAATGCACAGTACGTGAAGATACCCACAAAAAATATTAAATAAATCAACATCCAACTCTACCACAAGTTTAAAAGGATTAAAAAACCAGCGTTGACTGTAATGAAACGCCATTTTCTGGGTGAGCTCTGTAGGCTCCCTGGAGCTATCGGACTGATATTAGCTGTATTAGTCTAGGGATTCAGTCATATGGAATTCTTATGCCTACTGGGAACCATGAGCCAGAACCTTGTTCCCTCAGAGTGGTGAAGGGAGCAATAGCCTACGAAAACTATTCATGTCTCCCATCGACCAAGGTTAGGTACCCAGAAAGGTAGGTGCCCCAAAACAGACCCCTAACTGGTAGAAAATTGCAACCCAAGACCGAACAGAGCCCAAGAACCCCCCCCACCAGAGTGGGAGGCCCCACCCTCCTGAGCCGGCCACCTGCTCACCAGTTCGGAGAGTGAGCAAACGGAAGAAAAACTGCTGACCGGAGGGAGGGAGGGTGCCATAAAACTTCCGGGGCTCACCCAGAAAATGGCATTTCATTACATTCAATGCTGGTTTTCTGTGAGGAGAACACCCCCCCCCTTCCCTGCCACGAGCCCCTACTGGGGGCTCATGGCCCCCAGTAGGAACTCGAACTCCAAGGACTGATGGCACCAAACTAATATGGCACATGTCAGTTTGATAGCTTCAGGAAGTTGACAGAACTCCCCTCAGAAAATGAATACATAGTATGACACACACAAAATTAATTATATTTATGATGCCTTACTTGTGACTTGTAACAATATTGCAGCAGCCAATCATACGTCCATCAAACGAGTCAACAGCCTGGCAGTACACATCCCCTGTGATCCCTACAGCGGTGGGATCCTCTCTAACGCGACACCTACATAGCACATTGGTCAGGCTTGGTGTAGCCTGGGTTGGAAGGAAGTTCATAACATTAAACACCTTTCTTTAGTGTAATTTTATGAGAACCACTCTATATCTGTATAATTTAATTATAAATTAAATATAAAAAATACAGTATTGATTGACTTCTCATGCTGTAAACCCAATATATTTTGTCTCACAACAATAGCACAAAAACTCACCTCACTCACCTCTACACATGTTAAGAGGCTGAACATCCTGGCATGTCTTCAGGAAAAATGATTCCACAAGTTCTTATACTGTGTGAATTAACTAAATCATGCCTTAATTTGACTTTATATTATGAACCCATCCTGACAGAATCCTTTTCACCCAACGATATTTGATTCGCATCCAAAATATCCCCAATTCTAACAATCAAGATTTTCAAACTTGAAATTGATCTCCCTAATATTGCATAACTGTTAGTTGATCATTACAAGACTGCTACAGTGAAGTTACACCAAACTACATTAAGCAAACATGCAGAAGGAAGGAATCAGATACCTAAGCAAGAGCAAACAGCTGGAAACATCAATGAATAATAAGATAATCAGGATAAAAGCTGGGATAATCATCATCTTCAGAATATACTTAATGTACAACATGAATAGGAATCCTCTCCTTACAGATGGCACAAGGTCCAGACCCCACTCCTAATTCGGTGATGAAATACTGATGGGGTTAGGCACTTTTTGTGGGGAAGAGGGTTTGGGGGTGAAGTGAAATGTGCAAAAGCAGAAGTTTGATACCAGTTTGCTCTAATCATTTGCAACTTTCTTGCCGAACAAATTTATACAATACTGTATTTCCTCTGTTTATGCGTTTCATGTTTTAATTATTTGTATAATTCAATTATATCTTCCTTCATGTTATGCCTTTTGATGGCAGCTTTGTTGATCTATATACACACAGCATTATCAACTGATGGCATGATACTTTTTCTAAGTTGTCTTTCCTGCAACTACTCATTTACTAATCACTTCTTACTTGTACTCCTCTGCCTTTTAACCTGTGCTGAGACACTTATTATCAGCATGTCTACACTTCATTGTTATTGAGGAAGCATAATTCAACTGCTACATTCAAATTAAGTAGAATATACAGAAGAATTTTCTCACCTAAATTTTTAGCAGGATGCAGTTGGACATATCACGATGTGAATTGAATTCACTCATAGTACTTTTAGAAAAAGATGAAAAACTGTACTCATCAAATGTGAGAGGCTGTAGCAAGCACGGTTGCTTAGAAAAGAATTGCCAAGTGCAGTTATAGGGTGTGGGGCAGGAGCCATTCTCCTTCCCCTAGTGCAGTTACTGGGTGTGCAACAGCATTCACTCTCTCCTTCCCCTAGTGCAATTGGAAGGTGCAGGATGGCATTCACTCTCCTTTCCCTAGTATTAGTTACAGGGTGCGAGACAACATTCTTTCTCTAGTACAGTAATATGCAATTCTTAACTCTGATTACAACATGTCAGGTGCCAATTTATGTTATTAGTTTACCTGTACTGAGAACAAGCAGTCACCAATTATCATATTCACATATTCTGTGACAAATTGTAAGCATTGTTTAACTAATGTTCTATTTATAAGTTCTACTGGTAGAAAATAGGCACATGTCATTCAAATCAAATGAGTAAAGCTTGCAAATACATTTCTGAATAAAATGTATTATGAATTCCGTAGTTTCACAAAATATTAAATGCAATATTCCACGGATAGAATTAAGTCTGTTAGCACTTTAACATGCTTTTACACCGTGAACCTACCTCCATTTCAACTCACAGTCTATATTAGTGTTTAAAATAATTAAAAGCAATAAAAACAAAGCTAAATGATTTGTAAATACTCACTATGTATGAAGCCTACATCCAGCAACAAAATGATGAATTTAATATTAGACAACTAAGGTATAGCAAAGATAGACTGTTGTAAGCACATTATATCACACCTACTTGAATTTCAAGTGATTTATCTAAAATAAACAAATATTACACTGACTTAAAAACAAACATACAGAATGCACAATTCCCTGCTGGTGACAGCTGTGGGTCAAGGTGAGTGGTGGAGACAGGATAAAGCGCTGGCGCTCTTCCGGTGATACCGGGGTCTGAGGGTCGAGAATGCCAGTTGAAAGGAAAATAACAAAAGGAATGAATCTGCGTGTAGCAGTCACGGATGTGACAAAATCCTCACAACAAATGTATGTATGAACAGTTCACAGAAATTATCGAGAGAGCACTTATTCTGGAGTTTATGAACATCAAATATCATTTTCTCTCTGACACGAGGCAAGTCATTTAGTATATTGATCTCAATATTTTTATCACATACAGTATCAATCGCAAAAAAGTGAAGGTAAAGTTCGAGTATCTAAAACACGTGAACAATTTATAAATAAATTTGAAAGTGTATGAACATATACATTTTAACAGTTTATGTATTGTGATGTTGGGTCTGAATGGATCCTTATGGTTGGTAATATATAAGATAAACACTCAAGCCTTCACCTGTGAACAATCATTACTCAGGAATGGTTGAAAAAGTGTAAGAAATTTTAAAATAATAATATACAGGTAAAGGCTGAAGAGAATAAAATAAATAAAGGATAAACAAAATTATGAAACTGCCAGATAAAAACAACATCATAAGCATGTTTTAAATGCAAAAATAAACAGACAACAAAGTTAATGCAAAGGAACCTAAAAATTTTGCAATACAGTATTATTAAATAATGTCAAAATTTCAGTCAAACCTCAGTATGTGCAAGTTCGGTATGGTTGAAATTCACTGTACATAATGTACAGGGTATGTACTTAGCCCTAAACTTGTGACACATGCTCTGCATTCACTAACAATGGGCTTTTGTGTCTCACACACTTCTTAAGATTACTTTCTTGCCTCATGGCACTGTCCAAACACTGTGCAACTCCTGCTGCCTCCATAACAAAGCTAATGTTTTCTCCCATTTAAATCACTGGTGAATGTAGGAATCTACTCTACACAGTATATTTGTGGCAAAGAAGTGATAGAAGCACTCAGTACCAATGTTCACTTAAGTATGTTACTGAGAAAAGCATGGGGGGGAAGGGGGTGGAGGTTGAAGGGAGGTGGGGGTGTGGGGGGAAAGAGGAGGGGTTGTGGAGGGAAAGGGGGTGGGGTGGGGTGGGGGTTGGGGGGGAAGTGGACTAAAGTGCATCTCCAGCTTTCTATTTTACCTTAAGTTCAATCTGTGTGACATGGCTAATGTTGAGGGATTCTCAAAGAACATCCATAGCACATAGTGAGAGATGATTGCATATAAGCATATTATTAGGTGTGGATATTATTGTTATTTAGATTGTGAATTTAGGGCACCTTCAGATATCCAGATCACACTGTTCCGGACCCAATCCATATTTGCATAAACGTGGAAAATTTTTAAAATTGTCTTTTTTGGATTTTTTTTTTTGAAGTTTTGTTTATTTTCTTCTAACAAATGGTACAATACCATACATATTTCTGCATATTCAGACAATATATAAATACTGATTTTGTGCATAATCATAATTTTTTTTGTTTAACTTACCTTTATGTAGCACAGGTTAGTTTTGGTAATCTAATAGCAACAAAATGGTTACAGTGCTGTCATACAATCTGTTGAACTTTTACAGCCACCCCTGATCTACAGCCAGCAGCACCGACAAAAACTGCACCAAGCCTCAAGTGAAAATAAAGAGTTATCTGCCAGCCAGGACGACTCCGGAACCTCATAACACAACCAATATTGGGAAGAACAACAGAACTCAAAAGAGGCCAGATCCATAACACAGGCAAATTCCGAATCATGCAGGAGGTAAGCAAAGAGACCCCTCCCAAGCTTCAACCAGGGTAATTAGAGGTAGAAAACCTCCAGAAGGAAGATTCTGAGGAACCCAAGGGCACCCAGAAACGAACCTATATCAAACTTATACTAGGAAGGGGGATATGAAAACCCCATGCCTTGAAACATAAGACCCACTCCTCTGCAGAAGGAACAAGAGACCATGCGGGATCAAATGGGACTCAAGGACCCATGTCAGACTCCTCCAAGCTCCTGGAACAACCACCAAGGTCCCCAGGGCAGAGCTATCATCCAGGCTCAATGCACAGCAAAGTCCAAGGAAAAGGCTTTGAAGGTAGGTGTTGGCTGAAAAGAAGGCCCCAGAAGCCCCAGCCGGCTTAACTGCTTTTGTGCCCAAGTCGGAAAGACCAGACCCTGGAGCCAACCAAGCCACATCCCAAACTAAACTGAGCTCCAACCCCAAAACCCTCAGATGCTTTGGGGTCAGAAGCAAGGGGTAAAGACCAGATGGAGGGCGTACCAAGCCTGAAGGAAAAGGAAGAGGTGTGGATAGAACCATGGTTGAATTAATCAATACAGTGTATCTCCAAATACCTAGTCAAGCGGGGCAACTCCGGGGCATTGAACCGGGGCACACAACTGTAGAACAAAAAAATCTTATGTGTAAAGCGGTCGCTGCCTGATAACCCTGCACATCATCACATGGGTGTGTTAGATGAGTAATGTGAGGAGAACAAGTCCCACACAACTCAGGGCCAAAGGTGTCACCGACCCAGCAGGCAGCATGGCAGAGGCATAAAGTATGAGCATCACCTTGTGGCACAGATGATGCAGAACCCTCAAACTCTGACAAGGACAGAGTGGATACAGTGGGGATATCCATAGGAATGCCGAACCCACAGGGGGTTTCCAAGATCTGCAGGGAATGTCCCGACAGGAAGCCCAGGCACTGGGATCGCTACACCAAAACCCTGAAATAGAATAAGAACAGGTCCTCCTGAGAAAAGAAGGTAAGTCTGTATGGAACAAAAGGGAATAGAGAAGGATGGCCACAGAAATGGATAAAAGTAGACTGACCCAGCTCACCAGAGGCTGAGATGGTCAATTTCAGCACATTATGGTTAGGATACACAATACCCTTGCAGTGGTTCTGGGATTCAAGGTCCCTGTGGCCGAGTCTCTGACCAGGCCTCGTTGTGTGCACTGCCCAGTGTGCCCAGCCAGCCAAAATTTCCTCCTGCCATTAGAAAAGACTAAAAGCCAAAAACAAACAAATCATCAGTACAAACTGAGGATGGAGAAGCCAACTGATCTGATCTGCCTTCCTCCTCTCCCCAAACAAGGGTGGAGCAAATGAGCTAGTGCTAGTGTCATGAGTTTTCAAACATTTGTTTACATTTTAAGGGAGTTCTTTTAGCAATTTTGAGGTCTTAATAATTTGTATAACCAGCAGTGTTCCGTTTTGTCTTGCTGACTTTGTCGGTAGTGGCGCCGGACATTATTCAAATTCGCTGACAATTTTATATAGTGCCACTGCTCTCTGCACCTCATTAGAGGGGTTTCACGTTCTGGCTCATGATCCCTGGTAGGCCTAAAAGAACTCCATGACTGATGGCACCTAGTGGTTTGGAACTAGATCAGTATTGTAGCTTCAGGGAGCAACAAGGGGCTTCTCCATAAAAAGGAGACAAAAAAATATGATTCGATGGAAATTACTTTACATGACAAATCGATGATCTGGATTTCACCATGTCCTCTAGAATTACAGTACTGTATGCTCTTTTCTGACATATTTAAATTTCAGAGGGAAGAGATTCAATGGGCAGGGTGGGTCTCAGAGACTTGGAATTTCCTAAGGCTTGGCTATACAAGTGCATAGACTTGGGGGAAGTATTAATGGGGTCCTCCCAGAAATGAGGGTTTGAAATATGCTATGCAGGAATATTCTTTGCCAATGCTAGATGCAACCCTTTTGTCAGCTGATGCAAATTAGAACAGTACTACAGGAATTTAAATTTCTGGCATAAAAATTTTTCACATATGGTACTGTACAACAGACACAGATATTGCATAATAAATGTATTTTTGGCATATTCTTATCCCTTTCTGCTCTTAATTCACTTCTCATCTCTACGATTTGTCTTGTATCTTGGTTATCTTGAGGTTATCTTGAGATGATTTCGGGGCTTTTTAGTGCCCCTGCGGCCCGGTCCTCAACCAGGCCTCCACCCCCAGGAAGCAGCCCGTGACCCAGGTACCTATTTTACTGCTAGGTAACAGGGGCATAGGGTGAAAGAAACTCTGCCCATTGTTTCTCGCCGGCGCCTGGGATCGAACCTAGGACCACAGGATCACAAGTCCAGCATGCAGTCCGCTCGGCCGACCGGCTCCAGGTCGGCATAAATACAAGACAGCTGTGAAACTTTCCTTCCTTAAAAAAAAAAAAAATAAATTCCATTCTCTCATTATTTATTAACCCTAGATCAAAGGCCAATATTGCCCTTTTAGGGGAGGAATTTAGGATAAGAGTCCTTAGCCCAATCTGTCAATCCTTTTACCACACAAAACAATGCTGCATGTACAACATATGTTAGTAGTGGGTGACAAGGTAGCCACATCCTCCACAACTAGTTTTGATCAAACTTGTATTTGGTATACATTTGGTATACTGTACTTTAAACTCACTCAAAATGTAGATGTGGTTCACTGAAGACACATCAGTGGTAATATTTACCCTCAGCTAATCAGAATTTGTACAACTCAGACTTATTAGCATGCAAATTTTACATAAAACATCATGGGTTAAATGCATTATGGCTACAAGAAACTAGTCATTAGAGGGTAGGTTGCAGTATTACAAATTACAATACATTACGAAAGGCAAAAATCTAATTTATACAATACCCGAACACCAAGGAAAAAATGTACCCAATTATGATATGCAGAATATGACATTTTAATTACATTACACCAGATTTTCTAACAATTCCTAAAGCACTGTAGAATCAACAACACTGCACACAAGTGAAATAACCTGTCCATTAAGCACACAAACATAAGTTATAAACATGCACAAACGTTTATCTTTGCATGCATCACCTCCACATCAAGAGGCTCACGTACACAGGCACCATAAAGATCACATCACTAACAAGTATTTTTTTAACTAACGGCTTAGTTGAAAAACATGAAAGAGAGTAAGAACTTACAACGAGGGCAGACTGTGTACCGATGGGTTTAGGCTGGTTTTGACCCGTCCCAGCCGCCTCAGGAGATCGTGGAACTACAATTGCAAGAGGATGTGGCGAGCTATTACGACTTAACCTCTTGCTCTTCCTCACAGCTTCTCCTACTGGTCGGGCTTCACTCAGTGAATCACTAGAGTCTGAATTATGGCCCTCCACCCCAAGGTCATCCAATCTTCGCTTGGTAACACTATGACGCCTTTTTCCTAAGTGTCGAAGGCTCTGATCATTTGAGGGAAGGGGTTCTCTGTTGTCAAGACTTATGAGATTAGTTTTGCATGTGTCCTCTTGAGATGAATTAACTCCCGTATTTGATTTTACATCATAACTGGGTGGAATTGTGGCACTTTCTATTTCATCACATGGTACATCTGCATTTTCCACTGATGCCAATTGGGAGTCAAGAGATTGCTGCACAGAAGGATTTTCATTTATCTTTTCTTCAACTGCTAAAGTAGCCCCTTCTTCAGGAAGCATATCCTCAGCTCCAGGGGTGGCTGAATGATCCAAGACAGATCCATCAGTACTGCCAAGCACATTAGATGGAAACTGAGAAGTGCATACGTGGATTTCCTCGGCTGGTTTATCTTGAATTTTTGCCGTTGTGATTTCTTCAATTAGTTTAGTTTTACTAGAACTGACAGATTTTAAATCTTCTATAGTCTCATTTACATTTACAATTTCACCTTGAATTTGTACTGTATCTACTGCATCGCATGATTCTAGATCTTCACTTGCTGATGCATCTTGAATTAACTCTGCTTTAATAGCCTTTTCAGTTACCTCCGCAATACAATCTTTTTCAGTTAACTCTGCCTTAAGATCCTTCTTAGTTAGTTTTGCATAACAGTCTTTTTTGGTTAACTCTGTATCACGATCTTTTTCAACTAACTCTGCATCACGATCTTTTTCAGCTAACTCTGCATCACGATCTTTTTCAACTAACTCTGTATCACAATCTTTTTCAGCTAACTCTGCATCACAATCTTTTTCAACTAACTCTGTATCACAATCCTTTTCAGCTAACTCTGCCTCACGATCTTTTTCAACTAACTCTGCATTATCATCTTTATCAGTTAATTCTGCAAAACAATCCTTTCCAATTAACTCTGCATTACATTCCTTTTCAGCTAACTGTATGCTATGATCTTTTTCAATTGTCTGTGCAATGTGATCTTTCTCAGTTAACTCTGTAATACGATCCTTTTTAAGTAACTCTGCATTACAATCTTTTTCAAAAGAATTATTTTCATTGGATGTGGTAATTGTTTCCTCAGATGCAACATTATTAATGGAATTTTTAGATTCAATATCTTCTTCAGTGTCACTTTTCTGCTCGGTGAATCCCAGACAAATTGCAGGTACCGCTGGTTTTTCAATTACAGCAAATTGTACGGTTGTCTTCTCATCTCCAATATCACTTGTGCCTTTTTGTGTATCAGTTGCTGCTTCATATCTTTCAGAATCATTAATAGTACTCCCGTGATGCTCACTGTCCCAAACGCTAACTTTACTTTTCTCTACAGCAGCTTCAGTGGTTTGTTCTTTTAAGGTGTGTGTGTTACTTAACTCTTTATTTGCAGGAACACTGTCTACTGATTCAACTATATCCATAATTACTTTATCTTGAACTGGATTTACCAAGATTTCTTCCAGTTTTAATTCTTCCATCTGTTCCTCTTCACCTTCACCATCAAGAGTCTCCACATTGTCCATTTCAATGTCATCATTTTCCGGAGCTTCTGAAAGACCATCATCCATTCCGTTATGGTCTTGGTAAGAAAGCTGCTCTGAAGGGACATCCTGTGATGAAGAGTCTATAGACTCTGCATCAATTTCCTCAGAGACTACAGAGTCTGTCTCTTGAGAATTATCAAAGCCAGATTTTCCATAGCCTCCCTTTCCCTTTCCTTTCTTTCTCTTCCTACTAAATGAGTAGCTCAGCCCTTTGAAATGTTTCTTCTTCTTCTTGCCTGTCTTAGTGAAAAGTGATTCATCATCCTTTTTCCCTTTGCTGGCATAACCTTTAATTGTCATATATTCTTGCTTTTTCTGAATTTCTGAAATGGTCTTCTGTTTTCCTTTCTTGCCATCATGACTACCATCTCGAGACAAGGAAAGTCGTTGAGATCGTTTTGGTTCAGACTGTTGTGTTGTCTCCCCTGCTACTGGAGTCATACTTCTTCTCTGTCGATTAGCTGCTTCAACTTCCAAAGTTTCTTCCTTGTCTACCTCAACTTTTCCTCTGCCTCTCTTTCCCAGAAAACCAGATGGTGAGCTACCGGGAGAAAAGCCACCAGGACCAAAGTTACCTCCCTCTTCACTTGACACTTTACCTTTTCCACGACCTCGACCTGAGCCAGGAGTTAGAGTAGTAGTTAATGATTCATCCATTTTCTCTCCCTCAAGTTTCTGTTTCACGCGTCCTTTACCATCACTGCTTGAATCATCTTTAACTAAACCTTTGCCTTTTCCTCGTCCACGGGCAACAGGAGTAGATGTTGCACTCTCTGGAGTGCTTTTACCTTTTCCACGACCTCGGCTGTGAGCTGATGGTGCAATTAATTCTGCAAGACTCAGCGAATCTTCTTCTGAACTTGAACGAGCTTTGCCTCGGCCTTTGGGAGATGTGCCAAGCGATTCATTTCCCGAATCATTTCCCTCTCCAAATTCAACCAAAGGTTTGCCTCTTCCTCTAACCCTTTTTTTGCCTCTTGAGCTATGAACCCCTTTTTCATTACTGGATGATTCCTCTGTTTTGGGATCTATTTCTTGAGCTTCAGGAGTACTGGTGGTTTCTTCACCAGGATCCTTTTCACCCAACTTTTTCTCTTGTATCTTCCTCCTTTTTCGTCCTGATGTTGGGGTGGCATTAGGCGTTGTATTAGGAGTAACAGTTGGTGTAACATTTGGTGAGGAATTCACTAAAGTCTCAACATTATCTTTCCTCACTTTTTTAAGAGCACTAGTAATAGGGTGAATGGTGTGAACAGGCAAAGATGGGTTTGATATTTGTTGTGTAACTGGGACTTCAGGCGTTTTATCTACATTATCTAATACTTCACTCTTTCGCTTTCGCGTGAGTCGGGGAACCCGAGTACTTCTTTTTACATCTGGAGGTACAGATCCCTCAGGAATATTAGCAGAGTTAAACTGACGGGACATTGCTTCTAATAACTTATTTTTCTCCTCTCCATTCTGAGCTACAAAATCCATTATGAATGTCTTGTTCATACCTGCTTTTAAAGGAATATCTGAAGCTCTCTGTACACTGCTAGAGTCATTTACTTTTTCTGTATTGTCACTTTTTTCAGTTTGATCATCTTCATGAAAAGTGTAATATTCCTCTAATGGAATATTATCAGAGATATTATGGTAATCAGGAGACTTAATTTCCAGTTGGAAGGACTTTTTAATTTTCTTGCCATCTGTGTGTGCACCCAACCCTTTTTTACGACAAGAAAATGCACTCGATTCTTTCTTATCACCAGTAAGTGCACTCAATCCTTTCTTATCACCAGAGAGTGCACTCAATCCTTTCTTACCACCAGAGAGTGCACTCAGACCTTTCTTATCACCAGTGTGTGCACCCAATCCTTTCTTAACAACAGAGATTGCTTCCAAGCCTTTCTTAATATCAGTGAGTGCACCCAATCCTTTCTTACCACCAGGGAGTGTACCTAATCTTTTTTTGCCACCAGAGAGTGCACTTAATCCTTTCTTACCACCAGAGAGCGCACTTAAGTCTTTCTTGCCACCAGAAAGTGCACCCAATCCTTTTGTGCCCTTTTTTCCAATTTTGTTCCCTCCTTTACCACTTCCCTTTCCATGTAACAATGCATTTTCCTCTATCCACCTGCAAAGGGGGGAGAAGAGAAAATATTTATTCTCACAGTTTCAGAGACTAACATGTGTGTGAACAACCTGCTAAGCAACAGTGATAAAGATAACCTGATCATTGCAAACTTAGGAAATTAACAAAATAGAGCTAGTGTTCAGATAGAAATGTAGCGTATAATGTAACATTAGTAAACAACCAAGGTCAAAAGTGGTGTTGACACTTGCATAGTGATGGGGGGGGAGGAGGGCTCCAAGGGGGCTTCCACTACTGTAGCCGTGATGTGAGGGTTAAAACATAGGGTTGTAATGATTAATTATTATTGAATTTGGCTCTGTGACAGGAACCTAAAGGATATTCAGCGTGGTGTGTGCCCCTCATGGAAATTTACATCCCTGTACTACAGTAGTAGTGTATGATATAGCTCAAATAAAGACATGCAATTTCCAATTGGAATTGAATATCTTTAATAATCCATGTAATATTCTGTATAAAACCCTAATACTGTACTGTAATTTACTCTATCACAAAATTTCCTACAGTATCATCTGCAAATGAGATTAAAGTATTTCCTGGCAATAGAGGCATGCATAAATGTATATTAAACATTTAGGTGCAGCTCTAGATAGTAATTTACTAATTATATCTCAAGGGTGTCACTGGTAATTAAGAATGTGAATAAAATAAAAACCAGTTATTTTGAATTATTTCCTTAAAACCTACTGTATTTGCCGAGCATTAAAAAACAAAGCACGATTACAATCACTTGCACGATCTATATTTGGCACCAGTGACCAACATACAGTATTGTAATATCAGATGAAAAACAATCGGTGGAGACCTCACCTGGCTTTGGCTTTTCCTTTCTTGCCTCTGTTGCGTCCACGATGGCTCCCGTCTGACTGCTGAGAACCACCGACCGTTTTTCCAAAGTTTCCTATGGGTGAACCTGAAAATTAAATTATTCTCTATTAAATTTACTTGATTTCCAATAGTGGTAAATATGGTAACAAAATCTCTCAGAAAATGAAAAAGAATTATTTATGATTATCAAATGAATTATTAAATGACAAAGAATTATTTATGATGCACTTTACAATTGCATGATACAATGAAAAGATTTTTTAAAAAATCATATTTTTAGTATAATTACAACTGAAACCTTGTAACAAAATACTGTATACAAAAATTCAAAATCTCAAAATAAAACTAGCAACAAAATTATTTTAAAAACCTGGAATAAATGATCTTGTTAGAAAGCAAGGTTGATCTAGGCAGATTGCATGGCTGAACAAAAAATAAAGCACTCACATTAAATAAAAAAAAAAGCAAAATAGTCCATGCAGTATCTCTCTTAACCAACATTATCACTAAACTGTTACTAATTTTTTTATGAACTAGTCTTGGGGCTTGGGCACGTTTACTTGCCCAATGTACAGTAAGAGTACTGTACTGTACAGTAAGAGTTTACAAATCAACCCATTCATGGGTCTATGTCCACTAGCACAAACTAAGTTATACAACCTGGTGGGAACATGGTTATATTTTGGAAACTATTGTAAACCAAACTTGAAACACTACTACCCCCTGGGGGCCTGACGGCTGAGTGGACAATGCTCGCGATTCGTAGTCCAAGGGTTCTGGGTTTGACCCCTGGCGGGGGTGGAAACAAATGGGCAGTTTCTTTTCACCCTGATCCCCCTGTTTACCTAGCAGTAAATAGGTTCCTGGGGATGTGTAACAAAAAGCAGGCCTAGTCGAGGACCAGCAGACGTTAAGGCCCGAAATCCTCTCAAGATAACCCCTCAGTGCAATACGAACTTGAGGCCCATGTCTTAAACTAGAATGATAAACCCCTTTATCTCCTCTTACAAGCTCCTGTTCTTGGTGTTCTATCTTTAGCCACAGGAGTGTGGCTGCTTCAGCTGCCTATAACACTATGTCCAACCTCACAGAGACACTTTTCACACTGCTTTTCTTGTACAACTAAAGAATTCCATCATCTTGTTTCAAAACCCTTAAGACATCATCTCTCAAAATTGAATAACAAAGCATTACAATTAACCTCTGTTACACTCTATTAATCTGTCCACTTTTTGTCATCTATCAATCAACAAATGTTTATTTACCTATCAATCACCAAATGTTTGTTATCTATAAGCAATTACTCTGTACTTGTTACCTACATACTAACTAGTCTATACTGTACTTGGTACTTATATTCCAACTAGCCCATACTTGTTATCAATCTCCCAATTAGCCCATACTTGTTATCTACCTCTCAACTAGCCCATACTTGTTATCTACCTCTCAACTAGCCCATACTTGTTATCTACCTCTCAACTAGCCCATACTTGTTATCTACCTCCCAATTAGCCCATACTTGTTATCTACCTCTCAACTAGCCCATACTTGTTATCTACCTCTCAACTAGCCCATACTTGTTATCTACCTCCCACCTAGCCCATACTTGTTATCTAGTAGACAACATGGGATGAACACCACGCCTATAGAAAAATATAGATGACTATAATACTGTAAACTTTACTATAATATACATAAAATAATCATCAAATGCACTACCTAAAACATGACAAAATTTATTTAAAACTTGTGTGATTTTTTACGCTTCCATTTCACAAAACGCCATCTTCTCCTACGTGTATTAGCATATGATTCTGTCCGAAACGCTGCGAGTACTAGTGACTTCACAAGATTGTAAATACTATGCTATGTATTCTCTCTAACCTAATGTACCTTCTTGTATATAAATAAATAAATAAATAAATAAATAAATAAATAAATAAATAAATAAATAAATAAATGATTTAATGTTGTTCTTGGCCAACAGTAAACATTCCAAACCTTCAAGTCTTGTACAAAAAAATTAATAAAGAATAAAATAACAATCCATGGCCAATTAAACAGGCCGCCACCACCGTCCACAGGATGGGTACAGGGTGCATAATAAAGAAAGAAGTTGAAAATTGAATACGCTATGTCCCTGGAGAATTTCTGCAAAATTTCAACTCAATGTCAAGTATTTGATAGGAGACCACTTATAAGAAGTGATGATGTGATGGAGGGACTACTGATGAACAGTTCACTGACAGTATTTACCCACCTCTTTCCCTCTGAATCAGGGATAACAAAATTCAAAATACTTTAGGAGTTCTTAATTTCAAAATACTTTAAGAGAAAAAAATGGTTTGAGTAGCACCAGTATGTTCCTTCACCACCCTGGGAGCTTCTCTTTCAACCTCTATCTTAACAACTCTTGCTATTATTATGCAGTTTTGTCATGGTGTATGTACACATGGTGTATGTACTACTGTATGGCACAACCATGACTACATTACAACTGGCAGGAACATTTTTCAAGTGCACATCATGGTACACTGCATCCTGCAGGTACATCCTTTAAGTGGATAAAAATAGCACAAGTATAGTTACTTGAATTTACCTGAGGGCCACTATCTCCATCACAGCCTCAACAGAGACAGGAAGCCGATGGCTTGTTAAGTTACCTACATTGTTTTTAAGGATTTTTCTATCTAAATTTTAAACTAATGTCTTGGCGTTTACAGCTTCATTGGGTAGACGGTTCCATAGTTTTAAACCCTATGAGTGAAAAATCATCCCTTGTTTTTTGTCCTACATTGCAGCTTATTGAGCTTGAAGCTGCTTCCCTCTTGTATGCATTACATTTGCCACTTCTAAGAAGTGGTCAGGATTAATTTTCTTTAACTTGTTCAATATTTCAAAGTCCTTGATGAGATCAGACCTGTCATGTCTAGTTTGCAGAGTTGTTAGTCATGTGGCCCTCAACTGTTCCTGGTATGAGAGTTGACTTTGTTCTCGAATAAGTGTTGTCGCCCTGTGTTGAACTTTTGTATCAATCTATACACACACATGATGCAATTTTCTTCAATTTAATACAGCAAATAAAAGTATTATAGTATATATATATAGACAATATAAAAACACACAACACAGTGTCAAATTATGCCATGCCATTAACTATATTATGAATACAGTACTGTACCTGTCTTAACCTTAAAATAGCTGAAGTCACTATTTGCAACTGCCTCCAATGCTCGGATTGCCATGTGTGATTTTTTTACATTTGTCTTGTGAAGCATTTTTTGTTATGCACACTATACTATAGGACTTTTAATTAGTGAAACCATTTAAGGACAAATCATGTCAGGATCACCAAGTCCCATATATAATATATTCAAGTTTTTAAGCACAACACATTATTCAAAACAATACATTAACCTTATCTACAAATCTTAAAAAATTGTATACAAGACACTTTCTTTTTTTGTTTAATATCACAATAAATATTACATTATAAAACCTGAATATTATTTATTAATATTACCAACTGTTATGTAACCTATTACCTTATTTCATACAGTATATTGTATGTATATATATGTGTATGTATGTATGTGTGTGTATATATATGTATATATAACATCCAATGTAGCAAGAAGTGGTGTATCCGAGACATAGAAAATCAGAGCAACAGTCGCCAAGAAAACAGAAGGAGGAAACACTATAGGCACAATAAGAGTTATCACCAGCAAGGACTCAATTACTGACAGAGATGCCACAACAGCTCAAGCCCTAAGGGATTAACACCCACCCAGGGCTCCACGTGAGGACAACATTCTACCAGTTGGGGGTTACTGGAGCAGAACCTCTCTGGGTGGCCAAATCTGTGGTCCATAAAGCAGCCTTGTCCTTCCTAACTGGATCACAAGGTGGGTTCACAAGACAAACCCAACCACATCAAACAAATGCTCAACCCTGCACTGGGTGACATTGCACAGGGCCTCCTGGTGGAACTAACCAGATTCACCAACACATGTCTAGCTGGCAACATACCAGAGATCATAAGACTATCTTTTTTGGAGCATCTTTCTGTGCTCTAAAGAAAAAGGATGGAGGGATCAGAACAATAGCTTCTTGTTGGTCATTTCTGGTTTTGGCTTCCAAACACAATTCCTTGATCGTCTTTCTCTTTCTTTGCCTACCATGTTTTTTTCCGCACGTGTTAGCTGATCCTGTAGACTGTAAAAGATTTCTGCAATTATACTATCACTGAGTAGAAAAGATGTCAAACACTACAAGTTGTCAGACTAAAGAAGAAAAAATATATATTAACTGTATTAACTTTATTAACTACTGTATTTATGAAAGGGAGGAAACTGTTGACGAAACTGAAGTGACTAGGTAAAACCAACACTGTTTCTGATTTAATACATTATATGAAGATTGTACTGTATATAGTGAATGACTATTTCTTCAGAATGGGAACACTTCCATTGGCCACTATCGGGTTACAAGACTAGTCACGCTTCTTTCCAAAAATACAAATCATTTTTGTTCTACACACATTACTACTGTATATCATATTTCTTTGGTTTAATCCGTAATATTACAAGATTTATATGTTATGAACATATTAATGTATGTATATTTTCATGTTGCATGGTTTAAAAAAAAAAAAAAAACGGTACTCTACATATATTGTTGAAAACGTCCATGCTCCTGCCAATGCCAAAAGGACAAAATAGGCTTGGTCCCAATTAGTCTGAGTAGGAGTGACTGTTTCTAGAGTTACCAATGCACAGATATGTGAATGCCTCCCAGATGCATATGCTGACCGCAATAATTTCTCCTTCTAAGAATGACTTTTTGAATGTAACAGGAAAATGCTTTTGTAATTTTTCCTTACTATTTTCCTAATTTCATTTACCATATAAGTAGTTCCATATATCCAAACTACATCCAATATTTGTATTCAACTCCAATCCACTTCCATCTGTACTCTGTGTGTTTTACCTGTGAGTTTGATAATAGCTTTTTTGTTATTTAATCTGTTCTTGTGCATTCAACTGTCTCATTTAGATGCCTCCAAAAAATTTCCCTTTATAG